ACCACATCCAGTAGCTTACTAGTAATAATGTGTACAAGAATGATTCCCCATTTTAGTTACTAGGTTCATTGTCACCCACAGAGCTTTATATCTACTCTTCCTTTTAGGGTATAGGGTTGCTTTGAATTTATGGGATTCCAACACAGTATTTAAAAACCAATTACTTGCTTTCTGACATGTGCTGATTCAGTTCTAACTGGTTAAGGCGGACCACGTGAAAACCTTAACACCAACCATTACGGAGGTTTTTATGCGCCGAGGAAGTTATTTGTGTTCTTGTTATTTTTTATATTATTTTTTTTAAAAATTAATTTTTGACATTATTATATAAAAATATAAAAATATAAAAAAAACTTATATGAATTTTTTTAGATTTTTTTGAAATATACCTTAATAGTTAACTTACAGATAATGATGATTTTGTTGGTGTTCTCTAATGATTTTTCAGAATTTAATTATTTTTATATTTTAAAAGTATTTTTGAAAAAAATTAAAATTAAAATTTTTTATTTACTTTAAATTAATATATTTTTATTATTTTCAAATCATTTTATATAATAATATTGAAAATAATTTTTTTAACATAAAAAAATATTATTAATATATATTTTAACACAAAAATTTATTTTAAAAAATAATTATAGCCATACTCCTAAACAAATTTTTATACAATCTCGAGCATAAATCTGAGTCAGTTTTAGGGTTACCTAGGATTTCATTTTATTTGAAATAAACAGCAGATTTTGTCGAAACCAGAGATGGATACAGAAAGTACATGTAACAATAAATGAAGCTGTGAATATAAACTAGAGGACCAGTGCATATTAAAATTAAATTCACTCGTAGATGTAGTAATTTTTGTTATTGCAGCTTTAAAAAACATAAATTTAATTACAATTATTGTAAATTCTTACATGTAAAGTTTTAAATATCTAAATAAATAAAAAAGTAAGTGATTTTTTAATTTTATAGAAATAAGACTTGACAATCATTCGAGGGGGCCGTGTAAAAAAGCAGAATGCTACCTCAGCACCAAATTCTCGCGTCTTTTTTTCCAACTGATTGTGGACACTAGTTGACTCGAAGGAGACAGCACTGTAAATGAAAAGAAATGAAACCAAATAATACAGATTAGATTGCGATGAGTAGCTAGGGTTCCTCCTGTTAATCCTAACAAAGACTAGGCATGGATTAATGCCAATTATTAAAGGCAGAGAAATTTCCGATATTCGAATTAGTATATACAAGCTTATCCACACTTTGTCCAGTCCAGGCATAATGACAAGCAGCAACCATTGCTTTTTACCGAAGGAAACAACGATAATTGCCTAGAGGACCATGGTTTCATAGGGTAGAGTCAAAACTTGAGCAGGCAGAATAGGAAGCAACATCATGATGGGAAAAACATGGATGTTTTGTAACTTTATATAGCTCTCGATTCACTGATTTAGATCTTGAATACCGAATTCGACCAATTGGATCGATGCTCAAACAGACAACAGACTAGATTCGAAATGAGGATGAAAAGATAGGGAGCTAGCTAGTACCGAAAAGTTCCATAGCAGATGGCTAGCATCTCTCAAGCTTGGCAATATCCCATGATTTTTTACTACAAAAGCTATGCAAAATGCTCATGAAATACAAATGAGTTTAACTAGAAACTTCAACGGTAAACAAACAAGCGGAGGCCGGCTTCCTTTAAAAAAAGCAAAAAAAAAGAACCTCTGAAAAGCGTTTCTCTATTTCTACTCCCTGCTTCCTTACTGGCCATGAATGTGTTTTTTTGGCTACGTCCTAAAATCTCATTTTACTTGCAAAAATCTGGTTTCCAGCAAAGTAGAAGTTCATCTTTTTCGAGATTAACAACATAAATAGATACGGTTGAGGCAAACAGTTGTTTTATAAAGTATTTTTTTTATTTTCTTAAAAATATTCTTATTAAAACGCTGCTCGGAACGAACACCAAACATGGCAACCGGAGTTCTACGGTCTTAAGAGATGCAGGGACATGGGGGAGATTTGGTAAATGGAAGGGGACAGAATAGACACACCACCGGAAATACAGGGATCCGTACACCAACTCTTTCTCTCCCCTCCCTTTTACTGCTACTAAATTTATAAACTTCTGTAGCATTTTTTAATCATTTCCTACTAGATTTAATATTTAGTATTATGTTGTTGGACAGTGGTATTTAACCAAACAAACGCCTAACAAAAAGCAAAAGCACTTAAAAAAAGATGAAAAGAAAGACAGCTTTATTAGTTCTCATTTCTCTCTCTCTGGCTCTGCTGCCACACATCGCATCCTTGCAGAGTGTTCACAGCATTGTAGCAGGGACTGCATCTCAGTTTTGCAGAACATGAGGAGCCACGACAACAACTAAGAGAACCCATAAAAAATTATAAAGGAAATAAGTAAAAGGATGAAATCTTTAATTTAATAAATTATTAACAGGAGGAACACAACCTTTAAAGCTTTTGATTTGATATATTAAAAAAGCAGAGAGAGACAAAGAGAGTAAAAGGGTCTCTCTTTTTAAGAGTCTTGACTCCAATATCCTTTTAAGTCATTACCAAAGTTGCACTATAATGCAGCCATGAAACCTCTCCTTATTCACAAAAGCACTTGTCCTTCGATAAATCTTCATTATTGTTATCAACAACTTCTCCTTATTATTATTAGTCTTCAAGAACTCTACACTATTCTTGTTCTTGTAGTCGTTGTTTTTGCTTAGATAGGCTACATAGCTAAGGCAAAAAATGGTGGGTATGATAGATCTTAACACAACTGAAGAAGACGAAACAACACCATCTTCTGGGTCTTTATCTTCTCCATCATCGTCCTCTGCTGCTTCTGCTTTAAGTGCTTCTGGTTCTGGTTCTGGGTCTGGTACTTCTCCTGTTTGTTTGGAGCTTTGGCATGCTTGTGCTGGCCCACTAATATCTTTACCAAAGAGAGGGAGTATTGTTGTGTATGTCCCTCAAGGTCACTTAGAGCAACTCCCTGATTTGCCTCTTGGGATTTATGATCTCCCTCCTCATGTCTTCTGTAGGGTTGTTGATGTCAAGCTCCATGTAAGTCTTTTTGTCATTTTGTATGTGTATGTTATCTGTGCGTTTTATTGATGGAATTGCTGTGGCCAAATGGGTGTTTTCTTTTTATGAAAAAAATCTTCTATTTAATTGTTGGTGCTACTTGGTTTGAAAGGAAATCAAAGGGTTCCATTTTTGGTATTTGTTTTTTGCAATTGTGGAGAATTTGATTTGTAGTTGTTTAGCATTGTAAATGTGCGGATGCCTATTTATGTATTTGGTTGCTTTTAATTTTGTTCTGGTTTTTCTTTTGGGGAACTGGAGTGCTATATCTGTTAAGACAGATTTGTGGTAAAAATGTCGTTTCCCCCCCCTTTTGGCAGGCAGAGGCAGCAAGTGATGATGTTTATGCACAGGTTTCTCTGCTTCCTGAGAGTGAGGTGGGTGTTGTTCTAACCTTACTTTAACTTCAATTGTTGATGGATGTAATACGAACATCTAGTAAATTGAGCTTTTGGATGACAAATTTATTATAGTACCAAGACCCCCAAAGGGAAAGTTTTCCTATATTTGAGCTTCTAATTGTGATTGGCTTAGTGATTCCAAAATGTTCAAGATATTAGATTCAATTCTTCATTTTACCAGAAATTAAATGTTTAATTAACAAACAGAATACTTATCACTTGTAAATAGGCACCATTCTTTGAATTCAAGACCTGCATTTTAATTTTTTATTACTTTGTTGCCAATGGTGCATCTTTTGTTTTATTTCTCTTGATTTATTATGGTGTAACCTAAGATTCTTGAGATGGGGTTCATTTCGTCTCAATTTTTTTGTTGCGCACAGGAAATTGAGCAGAAGTTGAGGGAGGGGGTATTTGAGGGGGATGGTGAAGAGGAGGATGTTGAAGCCACAGTGAAGACAACAACGCCGCATATGTTCTGCAAGACACTAACTGCTTCTGATACCAGCACTCATGGAGGCTTCTCAGTCCCTCGTCGAGCTGCTGAGGACTGCTTCCCTCCTCTGGTAAACAACACTGCATTTTTTTTATTCCTGTTCTTTGATAACCTTTCATGTGTGATTTCAACTTGTGACCAACTTCCTTTCTTGGCTCAACTTCGGATGTTATTGACTCAATTGTACTGTTACCGCAGGATTATACTCAACAAAGGCCTTCGCAAGAGCTTGTAGCAAAGGATCTGCATGGCTCTGAGTGGAAGTTTCGGCATATCTACAGGGGTATGCTCGAGGCAATATCACTTGCATTTTCAGATTCATTACTTTAGTCTCTCTCAAATGATAAATAATAGCTTGCTGACTGTGATTTTATTTATTTCCCTTCCCCTGTTTGATTCTTGAGTTTGCATTTTCCTTCTTGGTTTGAGCAGGTCAACCTCGGAGGCATTTGCTCACTACTGGATGGAGTGCGTTTGTCAATAAGAAAAAACTTGTCTCTGGGGATGCTGTGCTCTTTCTCAGGTATAAATCTCTTTTCTTATCAATAGGATATTCTAAGCCCGACTAGGTGGTTCTTCATTGATATCTTCCATCAGGGGTGAGGATGGAGAATTGAGACTGGGAGTTCGAAGAGCAGCACAAGTTAAATGTGGTCCTACTTTTCCGGCTCTTTGGAATCAGCAGTTGAATCAGAGTTCTCTTGCGGATGTAGCTAATGCTATTTCTATGAGAAGTGCTTTCCGCATTTACTACAATCCAAGGTATTTTTTTTCTTGTTTTGTATAATGTTGGTAGGAAAATATGTAGCCTATATTTTGATTTCAGTATATGAAACTTTTGGGTAGAGTGCTTGCATGCAAATATCACTGGGAAATTTTTATGAGGTGTTTGCAGCATCTTTCAATCATTCCAGTGACTTGAAAATATTTAGTTTTGGGACATGTTGTGCTCTTTATACATCATTTTGTTTGATAGATGAAGATACTGAACTGCAATTTTAGAGGGTAACCTAACTGAGAAATTTCATTTAGGTAATGTTTGACTCTTATTGTCAAGATAGTGGTCTCACTAGAAGCTTCAAAATCTGAGTCATTTACTTTCCATTATGGGTTCCATACAGCTACTGCAGTGCAATTTATGTGAACATGCTCAGAAAATAGAAAACAAATAGCATCCATGTCTTTTCCTCCAATAGATCTTTTGCTTTTCTCATCATCTGATACCACCTTTCATGGTGATGTCGTTTCTGTTCATTTTACTTGTCACCAAAGTTCTTAACCTTTTACTGCGTGTAACACCACCTCAAAGGTATTCCCATTGTTGCTCGCCATGTTTCACATCTTACCAAAACAGCCGCTTCAGAATCCAGATTGGTATGTCTAACAAGCTGTTAACTCTTCCAAAATCCTGTGTGATTCACCAAAGTGCTCCCTGTTCCCTCAAGCTGTTGTAGTATTTACCCATGGCTTGAGAATACACTGGAACTCAATTGCTTATTGAGTTTCTCTCTGGATGGGTGGATTATGAGCCATTGTCTTTCAAAATGTAAAATTTTAGTGCGCAATATGATACTGTTTATGGAGAAAAATTTACCCTTTCTAGATACTGACCATAAGGGGATTGTGTAATACACTTCTTAATGCTTTTCTGAAGAGTAAAAAGAAAAAAAACTTACTCAACGTCCTTTATTACATTTATAGTCAATCACATCCCTTAACAAATTCTATTCAGCTTTGAGATTATGTATTTGACATCAATTTTACTGGGTTGCCAATGATCCTTAATGCCTAGTGTACTCTTCAGAACAGTTTCTTAGTTTCTGCTTTTGCTACCAATACTTCATTTACTATGTTTTTTATTACTTTCTTCATTCCTCTAATTTTCAAGCGTGAATTTTAACTTTGTAGGGCCAGCTCATCAGAGTTCATTATACCTTTCAATAAGTTCTTGAAGAGCCTTGATCAATCCTTTTCTGCTGGAATGAGGGTCAAAATGCGTTTTGAAACTGAAGATGCAGCAGAAAGAAGGTTTGCCATCCATGGGCTTGGAGCTTCTAACTAACCACGTTATCTAAATACTAACTAAAATACTTTTTTGCAGATATACTGGACTAATAACTGGAATCAGTGAGCTAGATCCTACTAGATGGCCTGGTTCAAAATGGAAATGTCTATTGGTATGTAATTGTTGAACAGTATATTTTATAAGATTTACTTTTAAGTTCCTACATGTTTGTGGAAAATCTGTTGTAACACAAATAAGGTTCGTTTTGAGATTTAGTTGTGGGGATGCTCTTAGATTTGGGTTTGCTTTTTTAGGCTCTTAAGTATTTTTCTTTCTTTCTCTTGTCACTTTTGATGCATTATTGCCTCATCCTCAGTCTTTATTTGTCTTGAGTGTGGAAGATCTACAGAACTGAAATAATATGTATAGCTTGCAAAGGTCAGGATGCTTTTCTACCTTTCATCATGGGACCTTCCTTGTGTTCTTCAGTGTCTAACCAATAATTAATGTCTTGGTTTTTCTCTATGGTATTTTCCTGTTGCTCTGTAGTGGGTACTTTGGAATGAAGATATGTTCTATATTCATTATTATTACTGAATATCACATATTTAAAGAATTTTTTCAATAATAGAAATGTAGGTGTAATTTATTTTGCTTGGTGAGTTTAAAAATGGGATATTTGTATATTTTTCTGCTTGCCAATCTGGGCTTTGGGTTTTGCTTTGTTTTTTCTTCTTCTGGATTCTATCTGTGCTCACGCAACTAAGCTTTCCTATCATAAAGCATCTTTACAATTTTTGACTTTTCATGTGTCATGACTATTTATATATTTTTCGATTGTATCCTTGTTTTCTCAGGTAAGGTGGGATGATATGGAGGCTAATAGACACAGCAGGGTCTCTCCTTGGGAAGTTGAGCCGTCTGGTTCTGGTTCTGGTTCTATTTCTAGTTCCAATAACTTTATGGCACCTGGTTTGAAGAGAAGCAGGTCTGGATTGCCTTCATTGAAGGCAGAATTTCCAATCCCTGGTAGGATTTGCTTTCCCTCTGCAAATGCATCACCATAACATATCCCTATATTTTCTTTTCTTTGTGCAATGTTGTTGACTAATCTGCATGTTTTTCGAACAGATGGGATTGGAGCATCAGACTTTAGGGAATCTTCAAGGTTCCAGGAGGTCTTGCAAGGTCAAGAAATTATGAGTTTCAATACTCATTATGATGATGTTGATGGTCAAAATCAGCACCCATCTGAAATAAGGAGTCAGTTTCCTGGTTCACATGGATCTGGGATTGCTGCAATAGGAAGTGGTATCAGAGGCTCAATTCCCACTTCTGAAAATTCCTTTAACGGCATGGGCTTTAATGAATCTTATAGATTCCATAAGGTCTTGCAAGGTCAAGAAATATTTCCTCGTTCACCATATAGAAGAATTCCAAATGCTAACAAGGCTCGTGAAAATTGTGTTCTTGGACTCTCTGATGGTGTTCAAAGGTCAAGCTCAAGAAATGGATGGTCGAACATGATGCAGGGCTATAATACTCAAATGCGACCTCCTACACAAGTATCATCACCATCATCAGTGTTGATGTTTCAGCATGCTAGCAATCAAGTTTCAAACCCAACTTCCATTTTTAATTCCAGTGATCACGAGGAGCAGACAACTAACACTCAAAGATGGTTTTATCCCGAAACACATGGGGGAAAATTCAAGCTGTCCTCACATTCTGACCCTGGTCTAAGAGGAGACAGCCAATGCAGCACGAATCCTTATGTTCTTTCCCACGAGCATCTTCAGCATGACATTTCACAACCTGTTGTAGCTCAATCAGCCTTTAGGAGCAGTCAAGATATGGTGTCGTGCAAAAGCAGCTGCAGACTCTTTGGTTTCTCATTGACTGAAGATAGACATGTTGTCAACAAGGAAGACAATATTGCTTCAATAACATCTCCATTGAATCCTGAATCCTCTTTCCTGCCTCGTGTTGGAGAACAGCTCCATCCAAAGCCTCCAACAATAAACAATGCAGTTGGGAGCAGTTGTACCAAAGTAAGTGGCCTCTATTCTATTAGAAACAAGCTTTTTGCTAGTTCATATAGTACATTTCAAGCATAAAAAAGTTTTAGGTTCACAAGAAAGAGTGTAGCAGGCAGGGCAACTGATCTTTCTAAATGTGATGGGTATACGAGTCACATGTAAACGATGTATTTAAAACAACTAAGCCTCAACCCAAACTATTATATGGATCCTTGCATTTAGCTCGATCATAAACTAGTTGATGGGCATTTATTTGCTCTGAAAGGGTTTGACTTGTTTAATGTTGGATTTGATAGTTTACTAGGTAACTTGATCTTTACATGATGGATTTTATGGGCAGTCGGTGCCTTTTTAAACTTGATCTTTACATGGATTTTATGGGCAGTCGGTGCCTTTTTGCTACTGTTGCCAATGCTATTTGCTCTTGTAGAGCTTTGTGCACGAGTAAAAAACCTCTCTGACTGCAAGCCTTGCCACTCAAATGGCAAACTTCAGTATGATTGGTGCAAAAGTTAAGGGTGGCATCGTGTGCTTTTAGGTTGGTACTTGGTACTGTATTAGTTTCAGTTTAGATCCGTAAATTAATTTCAGGATCAAGTCAGATAGGTGTTTATGGTCTTATTTACTGACAATGGTGTGTTAGCATTATTTAATCGAGTCAATAACTCTTCATTTTCATGCTAATTTCTCACCTGTTTGAGTCAATCTGTGATCTCGTTGAAATCTCTGGCATTGTTTTGCAGGCAATTCTGCAACATCATGCTGAAAATTATCGTATATACTAATGAAGACCCTGTTGATGCATCTGAGGCTACGCAAGGGAATGCCTCCAGTTGCTTGGATTCATATGTATTAGCTTGTGTGAAAGAACGTAACTAATCTCCCAAGGCAACTCGGTTATATCCTAACTCCGTTGACTATGTGACCGATTCTGTTTGTACTTTGTACTAATATATTAGGTTTCCTATGATAACCCTCCTTCAAGAATGATCTATTCATACTTGTTTGGCTCAGTCCAATTTGGACCCAATTGTTGTTGTAATGGCGCCTGATACGTTACAAGGTTGTTATCGCTCAATATATTTTCTTCTATGCATGCGAGCCTACTAGATTTTGAATTATTCTGTTCTTGTTTGTATTTTCCTGTACATGTTTCTTCTTGTTTCCATCTAAGATCAGCTGTAGTAAGTATTCTTGGAACCCAAACGACAAATGACTGGAAGGTACTCTGATATCTATAACAAACGCAAAGGCACTTCTTGCAGAATAAAAGTTGGAGCCTGCACTGTTTTCATACCCCTGCTTCTGAACAGCAACGCAACTGTGTGATTTGATGCCCATGAGGTTCAAACGAACCGAGTATCTGGATATAAGATGCATGCATGCATCGTAGAAGTAGCTGGAGTTTGATGTTGACGGTCCTCCTACTGTATAAGGAAAGTTCCAACAGAAAATCATCAGAAAATCATCTAGGTGGTAAGAACTTGAGATCAAGGGGTTTGCTCTCTTTGTAGTTTTATAGTTTTAGGTTCGAGTTCTTGGTTGCTTATATGATAGTCACTGGAGGCTTACATGATTGTTAACTTCAGGACCCGTGGGATTAGTTGTGGTGTGCGTAATCGTAGAAGTAGCTGGAGTTTGATGTTGACGGTCCTCTTAGTGTATCAGGAAAAAGTTCCAACAGAAACTATTGTAGCATGTGAGTTTTCGCCGTTCATATTTTCAACAACACTGACCGAAGACTCATGAAAATGCCCCCAGCACCATCAGCTTGCATTAGTTTGAACCATGCGGTCGTTGTTCCAATTTGTGACTTCGACATATTGGACTTGTTCTCCAAATTTAACATACCTTGAATTACTAGAGGATCGAGACTTCACAAGTAACTTTAAACTTTCAACTGCCCCAATATTTACAAATTTGAACTTGGAGAAGATGGTTTCAGACTGCAACAAGAATACTCCCGTTCTAGTTGCTTGATAGGATAATAATGTTAGCCTGGTAAATTTCGTGATGGTTCTTGATGCATGACCTGGCTACATAGGCCAGAGGCAAAACCATGGGAAAACACTTCAAACCTCCTTATTATTATTACTACGAAGATGTTTGAACTTGCTTCCTCATTGCCAAACAGTACTTGAAAAGGATGTAAGAACTCTAAGTCCAATGACCGGTACCCTTGAGGTATTGCCTGAAGGGCATGGCATTGAAAAAGGTTTCCTTTGACTCACTGGTGACGTGGGGTTATCAATATGTGAAACTGATTCAACTATTTGGACCATATAATTGAGCAGAGAGAAATAATGTTGGTCAGCGAAATATGACGTTTGATATTTCCTTCGGTTACGTTTTAGAAGGACCTTTGCATTATCTTGCATGTATCTGAGAAGGAAGAAGATTGCGAATGATATTCTTTTCTTTGAATGATAATATTGAAAATATCTCCAAAGCTGATGAATTTAATAGACTTCACAGCCGCAC